TGGTGTTAATTACATTGTCTGTCTTTAATGTCTGATTTTTATTTGAATTTTTTTCCCTCTTCTTATTCTATCTTAGGGTCTCTTCTCAAGCCTATCACAACCAAACATATTTCAGCTTCTTCATGTGGTAATAGTATATTGAATCTGCTCTTTTAACCTTTTGTATTTTTTTAGTCTATATTTCATTTATTTCTGCTCCGATTTTTTTTTTTTTTGGTCAGTTGTGAGGCTTGAACTTGAAGGCCTGGGTGCAGTTCTTGAGCTTTTTTTGCTCAAGGCTAGTACTCAACTAATTTGGGCCACAGCTCTACTTTTGGTTTCTGGTAGTTAATTGGAGGTAAGAGTCTCATGGGTTTTCCTATCGGTGTGGGCTTTGAACTGAGATCCTCAGATCTCAGCCTCCTCAGTTCTGGTCTTTATTATTCTGATCTTTATTATTTCATTCCTGCTATTTTTGGATTTTATGTGAGGGGACAATATTGGGGTTTGAACTTAGGTCCTGGTGCTTACTGGGCACATGCTTTGTTTGTATTAATTTTTTATTTCCTTGAGGTCCAGTAAGAGGTTGAGTGATAGTTGATCTTAATTGTTGATTGAAGAGATGTCGAATGCTATGAAATTTGTACATTCACTTCTAGACACATTTGGGAGGACAGTATCAGAAAAGATTGTGGTGGAAAGACATGTTCTGAATGTACCATCTAGCATCTAGTGGGTTTCTAGGTGAAATAAAAATGTGAAGGAAGAGGAAGCTAGTCAGCTTTGAACTGCTCTGCTCCACTATGCTCTTCCCAACTTTGTAAGCCCAAAGAAATAATTTCTCCCTGAATTTTTTTCCTCAAGTATTTCTCAAAATGATGAAAATTCTGACAAACACAACTTGTTTCTTTGAGCTCTTTCATATGTGTGTTTGTAGACATATATATGCCTATATGTGTATATCTTTTTAAAATTTATTTACTTTTTGCATGGCATTTTATCACTGATCTACATCCCAGTCCTTGCTTTTGGAGACAAAGGTCTCTTTAGGTAGTTTAGACTAGCCTTTAACTTGCTGTCTACTCCAGTGTGGCCTTGACTCATGCTGTCTTCCCTCTACCTCCTAAGTTGCTAGGATTACTGATGTGTTCCACAGTGCTTTTGCTGCTGTTATTGTTGTTTCTGTGCTGGAGTTTGAACCTAGCACCCTATGCATGGTAAGCAGGTATTCTACCTGTGAGTGAACTGTAGTCCCAGCATATGCTTTTTGTTGAGTAGGCTTTCATTGCCATACCCTTTCCTTTAGTAGTGATTTTGGTTTATTTCATAGATTTTGGTATGTTATATTTTACATTTTCATTTGTTTCAAGAGCTTTTAATTCTTTCCTGATTTCTTCATTAATCCATTGATTGCTCAAGAATAAACTATTTAATTACCATACATTTGTATAGTTTCCAAGCTTTTCTTTGCTATCAATGTTTAGTGTTATTGCATTGTGATGAGAGGAAATAAACCTCAAGATTATTTCCATTTTAAAAAGTTGTTGAGAATTGTTGTAGCCTATCATAAGATCTCTTAAGGAGAATGTTCCATATGCTGGAATAAAGAATATGTATTCTTGCTGGGTGCTGGTGGCTCATGCCTGTAATCCTAGCTACTCAGGAGGCTGAGATCTGAGGATTGTGGTTCAAAGCCAGCCTGGGCAGGAAAGACTGTAAGACTCTTATCTTCAATAAACCACTCAGAAAACCAGAAGTGGAACTATAGCTCAATTGGTAGAGTGCTAGCCTTGAGCTGAAGAACTGAGTGCCCAGGCCCAGAGTTCAAGCTCCATAGCCGGAAAAAAAAAAAAAAAAGATGTATTCTGTACTTTTTGAGTGAAATGTTCTGTAGGTCTGTTTGATCAGAGGTACAATTAAACTTTTATTATTGATCTTCTGTCTAGATATGTTTATTACTGAAAGTGGGGAGAAAAATAATCCTACTCTTACTGTATTGGAGCAGTTTCCCTACCTTTAGATCTATAAATATTTGTTCTGTATATTTAGTATTCCTATCTACATTTTTCTGTGAATTTGTATAGAATATTTGCTCTGATATTGAATGCAAAAAGAAAGCTTCTCACCTTCCACAGTACTCCCAGTTTTTTCACTTTTTTCTTTTTCATCTTCCCAAAGTAATGTTTGTTCTTTCTTTTTTGTTTTAAATTATTTGTTGTATTTTGCCCCTTTTTGTGTTCTAGTCTTCCTAAAATCTCCAGTTTTAGTCATATCTAAACAAGACATTAAAGAGTTGTTGGTAGCTCTGTTGACACGGATGGGACTTCTGACTTTGCATTATAGGGATTGTGTGTGTGTAGAGCTTGAGATGGTCTCCCAAGGCCATTATTTAGGGGTCTGCTTTCTATAGCTGCTCACTTATTCTGGGTAAAAAAACTCATCTTTGGCAAGGTGTGAAGATACATGCCTACTACTGCAAATACTAGGAAAGCAGAGATTGGGAGTATTCAACTTCAAAATTAGCCCAGGGAAAAATGTTTTTCTTAAAAAGTTTTAAAATGGTTATTATAAAGTTGTACAGAGGGGTTACAGTTACATAAGTCAGGTAAAGTGTACGTTTCTTTTTGGACAGTCTCACCCCTTCCCTCATTCTGTCCCAGTTTTCCCCTCTGTCCCCACCCACAAGGTATATAGTTCATTTTCAACATAAAGTCCAGTGAGTACCACTGTTTCATTTTTCCCCTCTTGTCCCTCCATGTCTGTACACTCCCAAAGGCATATAAATAGACAAGCAGAGCAAAAAGAAAAAAAAAATCCTCTTGTTTCCATTTCCTGGAGTTCATTTAGATAAATACTAATTTTGTATGGTCAAATGCACATAGGCATTTTGCCTTTTTGTTATCTCCTAAGAGTAACCTCCTTTGGTCTCACTGTGTATGAGAGACCTGTATAAGTTATTATGTCCCAGTCTATTTTAGCTCTATAGGTATGAGAGAAAAACACAGGCTGTTTGTCTCTCTGACCTTGGCTTATATCAAGTAACATGATTTGTTCTAGGTCCATCCATTTCCCTGCAAATGATACAATATTATTCTTTCTAATGGCTGTACAAAATTCCATTGTGTACAAGTGCCACCTTTTTTTGTATCCATTCATCTATTGTAGGACATCTGGGCTGTTTTCACAAATTGGCTATTGTGAATAGTGGAACAATGAACATGGATGTGCAGGTGTCTATCATATCCTAGCTTGTGATATTCTGGATAGATGCCCAGGAGTGGTGTGATTGAGTCATAAAGAAAATCTATGTTTAGTTTTTTTGAGGAACCTCTAGACTGCTGTCCTGAGTTGTACCAGTTTTCCGCCAACAGTGCAATAGGGTTCCCTTTCCCCCACATTCCTGCCAATATTTGTTGTTTGGATTCACAGTGTTGGCCAATCAATCTAACTGGGGTGAGATGGAATCTCAGAAGTGTTTTGATTTGCATTTCCTTTATGGCCAGGCATGATGAACATTTCCTCATGTGTTTCTTTGCCATTCTTACCTTTTCTGAGATGTCTCTCCTTTTTGCCCATTTAGTGTTTGGGATGGGTTAATTTCTTGAGTTCCTTATATATCTTTGATATTAGGCCTTTGTCTGAAGTATTGCAGGAAAGATCTTCTCCCAGTCTGTTGGCTGTCTTTCTAGTTTATAACTATGTCCTTAGCTGTGCAGAAACTTTTTAGTTTGATGTAGTCTCATTTGTTAAATGCCTATCCTGTCTGCTTGTTCTCTCTGCTGTGCCCCTTGGACTCTTTTTTCAAAAAGTTTCTGCCTGTCTAGGCATAAATGTTAGTAAGACCCCCATCTCAGCAAATAAGCTAGGTGATGTGTACCTACCAGCTAAATGGTTAAATGGAGGGTGTAAGTGTAAGTAGGTAGATCTCAAAAATGTGAGAAACTATCCAAAAATACACCACAAAGTGCTGGGGACATGGCTCGAAGGATAGAGTACCTTCCAAGTGTACCTAAAGGTCCTGAGAAAAGAAAAACTTTTTTTTTCTCCTGCTGAGAGGCTAGTAGGCAGCTAGCTAATGTAAATAATGGAGGCTGCAAATCCTTCTCTTGGATATGGCTGTTGCACATCAGACTTAAATCTGAGTCCATCTTGTGCCTGCTAATGTTCTTTATTCTAAAGGTTTTGGGTTTCAGTTCCCTGTGCTCTTTAGGCTTTGGCTTCTTCTGCCCTATAAAGTCACTTAGCTCTTCCCTTTTTTCTTTCACAAATGTGTTGGCCTGCCTGCCTGCCTGCCCCCCACTCTTTCTTTCTTTCCTTCTTACCTACCTTTGTTTGTTTGTTTGTTTGTTTCTTTCTGTATTAGTCCTCCCTTTCCTTTGTTTTTACATTTTAAGATCATCTTTATTATGCTCTCAGATTTGTATAGAAGTGTGTAAAAGAGATAGGATTAAGAAATTTTACTTGATTTTTGAGTATCTGTTATGAGTAGGTTATATGTTCATACGGTGTCTGTAGTGAAGGTTGGAAATCGGTGCTTTTAAATTTTAATAATTATATATAGATAACTTACTTATATATCCTACACTTGGTATTTGGTACATTTATTGAATTGAGTTTATATAATAGTACATCTAATAGATTTTTAAAAAGTACTTCAGTGCTTTTTTTTTTAACTTAACTATGGTCTAATCTAGTAATGTGAAAAGGAAGTATATTGTTTATATAAAAATAACTTCCTTCTTTCCTTTTGCCCATCTATTCTTCTTTCGGCTCTACAGATTGGTTAAAATTCTTTCATAGCTCCTTAAATAATGATACTGATTAAAGAAATGATTGTAATCTTTAAATCAAAGAGTGTTTGTGATCTATACTATGATCTATACTATCTATACTATGACAAATGGAGCATCCAATTAAGTAATTTTATGGAATTATGTAGTGTACTAGATTTAAACCTATATTATATGTATATATGATTCTTATGATCTTTGTCATCCTTTTGTTTATTTTTTTAAATTTAGGTAAATGGGCAATGTGCTGGCCACACAGCTATGCAAGCTGCTAGTCAGAATGGACATGTTGATATTTTGAAGTTACTTTTGAAGCAAAATGTGGATGTAGAAGCAGAGGTAACTAAACTAAGCTTGAAAAATTAATTTTCTAGAAATAATTTGTTATTACTGTTGTTAGTTTTGCAGTGCTGAGGATTGAACCTTGAACTTTATAAATGATAAGCAAGTATTATGCCACTAAACTATATCCTTAGCCCTTTAGAAATATATATATATATATATATATATTTTTTTTTTTTTTTGGGTCCGGTCGTGGGGCCTGAACTCTGGGCCTGGGCGCTGTCCCTCAGCTCTTCAGCTCAAGGCTAGTGCTCTACCACTTGAGCCACAACACCACTTCCGGCTTTTTTCTTTTTTGCTTATGTGGTGCTGAGGAATTGAACCCAGGGCCTCATGCATGCAGGGCAAGCACTCTACCACTGAGCCACCTTCCCAGCCCCTAGAAATATTTCTATATGCGGTGGATTTTTATTCTTGGAATTTAGTATTTTCTGTTTATTTAATTGAACAGGAAAATTTGACCAAAGACAGCTTAAAAACATTTCTTGTTAGATCCATCAGTGTTTTAAGCATAATCCTAGGTCATGAGAGGTTTTGAGTTTACTACCACTATGGTGGAACCCAGCTGGGTTGGAACCCAGCTATGCTTTTGGGAATTCACCTGCGAGTACCCAGGAGTCATACTCAGAATGGTTGCATACATACACTTCTCATCATGGTCTTTTTTGATCTCTATGATACTCAAGTCTTTTTTTTTTCTTTTTTTGGTCCGGTTGTGGGGCCTGAACTCTGGGCCTGGGTGCTGTCCCTCAGCTCTTCAGCTCAAGGCTACTGCTCTACCACTTCAGCCACAGCACCACTTCTAGCTTTTTTCTTTTTGCTTATGTGATGCTGAGGAATTGAACCCAGGGCCTCATGCATGCAAGGCAGGCACTCTACCACTGAGCCACCTTCCCAGCCCTCAAGTCTTTTTTTATTTTTGTTTTATTTTGGTGTTGGCTTTTGCCATAAATGAAATGACATTTTTTCAGTCTTACTTTTTCTTGACCTTAATTTGAGTCTTTATACTTACCTATGCTTAATTTAACTTTGAGTATATTCTTATAAAAAGGAAATAATAATATACCTTAATGCCATTGGAACTTCAGTTTGGAATCTATGTGTGGTGAAGAATGGTTTGATTTTTTATAACTATAGCCTCCTGTCTAAACATATATTAAGATTACATTAATTTTAGTCAGTGTAAGGTTATTTAGAGTGAGTCAGAATCTAGCAAGTATAAACTAAGCAGGATGTTGCAGTTTTATCTGAAAAACTTTCCCATCTAGAGGCGGCCAAACTTGAGTTGTTGAGGGCTAACTTGATAAACCCGCCTATTTTTTCATTAATTACAAAGTTGAGTGTGTGTGTGTGTGTGTGAGTGTGTGTGTCTAGGGTTTGAACTCAGGACCTAGGCACTGTCCGTAAGCTTTTTCACTAAGGGTTGACATTTTCCTTCTTAACCATAGCTCCACTTATGCATTTTTGCTGGTTAACTGGAGGTAAGAGTTTAATGGACTTTCTTGATCCAGGTCTTTGACCAGGAGCAAGCTTGTTTTGAACTTTGGTCCACAAATCTCAGCCTTCTAATTAGCTAGAATTATAGGTGTGAGCCACCAGCACATGGGTTCGTTAACTTAAAAGTTTAGGACACATATTTTAAAAAGTTCTTTTTTTTTTTTTCTTTAATTGTTTGTAGTTTGAATTATCAAACAGCTTTTGAAAGAGTCTGGTTTTAGAAGTAGGCCTCTCATCTTAGATGTTGGAGTTTTCTGTTGCCCAGAGTTTGAATTTTAAATGAGCATCTTGGATATAACTATATTATAGTTTACCTATTACAGTTTTATTTTCTTTTATTTTCCTTTTTTTTGTGTGCTGGTCCTAGAACTTGGACTTAGGGTTTGGGCACTGTCCCTGAACTTTTATGCTTAAGGCTAGTGCTCTACCATTTAAGCTACAGCTCAACTCTTCAACTCCTGGCTCTGTGTGTGTGTGTGTGTGTGTGTGTGTGTGTGTGCACGCGCGCATGCGCGTGCATGCACGTGCACATGTGTGTGTGCTTTATTAAAGAATCTCATGGACTTTCCTGCTTAGGCTGGTTTTGAACCATGATCCTCACATCTCAGCCCCCTGAGTAACTAGGATTACATGTGTGGCCTCTGGAGCCCAGCTTATTGTAATTTTTTTTGTTCCATTTTCTGGTGTTCATTTTGATACATATTATTTTATATGATCAGAGGCACATAGACATGGCACTTATGTTATTGTAATATGTTTTTAAATAGTACTGGGATTTAAAGTCAGGACATTGTGCTTGATTTTTTTTTTCATTACTAAGGATTAAATTTAGGGCCTCAAGCTTGATAGGCAGGTATTCTACCATTCTGCCTCCAGTCCCTTTTACCATTGATTATTTTTGAGGCAGAGTCTACCTTTATGCCCAAGCTGGCCTGAGTTACAGTTTTCCTTCTTGTCTTTTCATTTGTCGGGGATGATAGGGTCTAGCCACTGTTCCCAGTTTTGTGTTTTTCCATAACTGGAATAACAGGCACCTCCCTCCCCCCCCCCCCCGAAGCCATTGGTTGAGATGGAGTCTAGGAAACATTTTGCCTGGGCTAATGTGGGACCATCATCACCTGATCTTTGCCTCGAAGGATACAGAATTGAGCCATTGCCCTCAGCTATAGTTAGGTTTGTGTGCGTGTGTGCATGCGCGTGTGCATGTTGGTCCTGGGGCTTGAACTTTTTTTTCACCCTCTACTACTTGATCCACAGCTCTACTTTCAGCTCTTTGGTGGTTAATTGGAGATAAAAGTCTCATAGACTTTTGTGCCTGGACTGGCTTTGAACTGAGATCTTCAGATAGATCTTAGCATCCTGAGAAGCTAGAATTATAGTTATGAGCTATTGATGCCTGGCTAACTTTTTTGAATAAGAGTTTTTTAGTTGATACACTAATCTAGGTTTATCATTTATCTTTGGAGGTAATCACTATTTAACTTAGGTCCTAGTTATTTTGGCAGCTCTATTTGCTTTTCTTAAAAAAAATTTTTTTTATTATAAAGGTGATGTTCAGAGGAGTTAGAGTTATATATGTCAGATAAAGAGTACATTTCCTTTTGGACAACGTCATCCCTTCCCTCGCTCTCTCCCAGTTTTTCCCCCCATCTTCACCCACAAGTTGTCTGTTTGCTTTTCTGAAAATCACCTGGTTCTTATTTATTTATTTATTTATTTATTTTTGGTCGGCCTTGGGGCTTGAACTCTGGGCCTGGGCGCTGTCCCTCAGCTCTTCAGCTCAAGGCGAGCGCTCTACCACTTGAGCTACAGCGCCACTTCCGGTTTTCTGGTGGTTTATTGGAGATAGGAGTCTCACGGTCTCTCCTGCCCGGGCTGGCTTTGAACTGCGATCCTCAGATCTCAGCCTCCTGAGTAGCTAGGATTACAGGTGTGAGCCACCAGTGCCCGGCTCACCTGGTTCTTAGTGTATTGTTATATCTTCTTCACAAGTTTCTCCTTCCTCATCCCTTTAGAGCTTTTGAGATTGACTCTCACTGTGCCAACCTAGTGTAACCCCCTAGCTGCCCTCCAGGTCAATCCTCCTGCCTTAGTTTCCTGAGTACTGGGACAGTCATGGCACACCATGCTTAGCCCTATTTCTCTTTCTTTTAACTATTCACTAATTGAGATTTAAATGCACATGTTTAGGATAAAGATGGAGATAGAGCAGTTCATCATGCCGCTTTTGGAGATGAAGGTGCTGTTATAGAAGTACTACACCGAGGCAGTGCTGATCTAAATGCTCGAAATAAGCGCCGACAGACACCACTTCACATTGCTGTTAATAAAGGCCATCTTCAGGTTGTGAAGACTTTATTGGACTTTGGTTGCCATCCCAGTCTCCAGGTAAGATTTCTAATCCAAAGATGCTATTAAAGAGAAGTGCTAGATCCAAGGATGTAGCACTTTTGTATAGAATGTATACTTGTGTATAGATTGTATAACATTCCAGCATAGAATGTTATAAACAAAATTGACAAATTGTTTCTTCCTCAAAGAGCCCTTTCAAATGTCAATTGATTAGGTTTAGATTTAAGGGTAGAAGCAAGAACTTCTTACAAAATTATCATCTTAAAAGTTGATTTGAGCTGGGTGCTGGTGGCTCACACCTGTAATCCTAGCTACTCATTAGGCTGAGACCTGAGGATCTTGGTTCAAAGCCAGCTCATGCAGGAAAGTCCATGAGATTCTTTTCTCCAATTAAACACGAGAAAACTGGAAGTGGCGTTGTGGCTCAAGTGGTAGAGTGCTCACCTTGTGCTGAAAAGCTGAGGAACAGTGTCCAGGCCCAAAGTTCAAGCCCCATGACTGACAAAAAAAAAGTTGATTTGATTTAATTTTATTCATCATGGCAATTTTGACAGCTTAAGAAATAGTAACTAGGTTATATAAAACATATTATTTCTGGGTGCTGGGGGGAGGGTCACACCTGTAATTTTAGCTACTCGGGAGGCTGAGATCTGAGGATTGCAGTTCAAAGTCAGACCAGGCAAGAAAAGTGTGTGAGACTCGTACCTCTGATTAACCCTGAAAAGCTGGATCAAATGGTAGATTATCAGCTTTGAACTAAAAAGTTGAAGGACAGTATCCAGGCTTTGAGTTCAAGCCCCAGTACCAACACAAAACAACCATGCAAAACCAAAGATGTTCTAGGCCAGCCTGGGCTATCAGAGTCTATTTCAAAAAACACAAAAATATCTGAAACCCCCAAATTCTCAACAGACTATGCAATAATTACTCCAAAATTATCTAAATTATTGTCATTGTTGTTTAGTTTATTTCAGGGTCTAGATCTAATCCAGTCTAGGCTGATTTTCTGTTTTGGAAAAGACTTGTTTTTAAGGTTGATTACAGTGTGACCTAATTTAAGGGAGTAATCACCTAATTTTTGAAGCAAAATTCACCTAATAAATGATTTTCCCCAACCACAGTTTAGCAACTAAGTGAATTAAAATACATATGTAAAGGAAATGTAGAAAACTGCATTTGAATATGTAAAAATGCCAATTTAAATTGGAAACTAAATATTAAAATAAAAAGGGGAGAATCATTAAAATGATGGTTTACAGTTTAGAACTTTAGAATCTGCTTACAGTTTAGATAATTCACAAGAGATAGAAATTTTAGGAGGTATTGAAGAAGATCAGGAATACTATGAGTGCAGACTTCAGAATTACTGAAAGAAAATGGAAGTTTTCAACTATGTGGTTATAGACAGCAATGTTTCTGAAGTGTAGACATTTTGGAACTGACAGGATATGGATAGAAGAGGAATTGAGGATGTTATGTGTTGAAGGAGGGGGGAATTTATTGATCTTTTTGTCTGAAATGGGGCTCAAGGTTCTGTTTTGAGAGGTTGAGTGGATGTAGACAAAGGTTAATTGAGCACAGTATTAACAGTTTGCAATAGCTAATATGGGGACCAGCAGGCAGAGCACAACAGGAGTCTGTAGGAATGTTTTCACATCTTGTTCACAGCTCATATCAAGTTGAAGACTACAAATATTTGTGCTATTTTTACAGTAGGATTGAAGGTAAATGCCTGGTTTGAACTTGGGCTACTAATTTTTTTTTTTTTTAATGCTAGTCCTGGGGCTTGAACTCAGGACTAGGCACTGTCCCTGAGCTTCTTTTGCTCAAGGCTAGCATTCTACCACTTGAGCCACAGTGCTACTTCCAGCTTTTTCTGTTTATGTGGTACTGAGGAATTGAACCCAGGGCTTCATGCATGCTAGTCAAGCACTCTACCACTAAGCCATATTCCCAGCCCATTGGGTTAGGAATTTGTATGTGGAAGGGTAAACATACAACTGTGATTGTCAAACTTTTATATAAATGACTAGATAGTATTGTATTTTGTGTAACAAGCACACAGCTCTGTCATTATAGAATAAAACAGTCACAGATATATGAAAGAGAGTCTGTGTTCTAGTGAAATTTACAAAAAACAGGTGGCAAGCTGGATTTGGCAACCATGGTACATGCCATGGGATGGGATATATATGACTTTTTGAGAATTTGTGAAGCTGTGCAGATGACTGATGATGAATGACTAATAATTTACTCATTGCCAAATGATAAGTGTACAAAATAGCTTGAAAATAGAGGTAAATCGAGATCTTTACATTTTCATTTACTTTAATTTCTACTTTAAGCATAGTAACCACTTGCCTGCCCTTTGAAAACATTTAGGCTATTGATTATCACCAGTGAGTGTGTAATATATGAATCTGGGGAACTCTGAAGGTCTTTTGAAGCTTGCTTTTTTTTTTTTTTTGGTAAGAATGGTTATCCTATGCTTTTGCTCATTGGCTAACGTGCTACCAACTGAAAACATACCTCCAGCCCCAGAAGCTTGCTTTTCATCCCTAGAGATTTATTTGGTTTAGAGACCAGCCTAGCCCATCAGAATTTTTTGATAGCTCCCCGGCATATTCTAACATGTAGCCAAGGTTAAAAAACCACTGATTTGAATTCATTGCTATGAAGCCTGAAAATGGATGTAAATTTTGGTTCAGCATTTGGTGGGACAGTAGTTAGTGATATCGTTTTATTTACTTCAGTGTGTCTATCACAGTTTCTTGCCTGTATTCTCCCCTGGTACTGGGTGGGAATTGAACTCAGGGCCTCCTGCATGGTAGGCAATCACTTCATTGCTTCCATTTTTATATTTAACACAGAGTGTGATCACTTACTGAGAGTTGGTGGATAAGGTCAGGCCTCTGTTTCTTTGTTTAGTTTTGTGTAAGCATTATTATCAGATGTGATGATGAGTTGAAGGAAAAATAATAAAGGTCTCTTTAAACTTCAAAAACCTAAAGGATTCTGAAGGTGATACACCTCTTCATGATGCTATAAGTAAGAAACGCGATGATATTCTGGCAGTTCTTTTGGAAGCTGGAGCAGATGTTACCATTACAAACAATAATGGATTTAATGCTCTACATCATGCTGCACTAAGAGGAAATCCCAGGTAAAAATGTGATCTTTTATTATATTTAGGTACCATTTAAAAACACTTTGCTTTTTCTAGTTCTTTTCTGATTTTGATGAGGAAATAATTTCAACTAACTTTAGTATCTTAAATCATTTTAAAAGTTGTGGAAATTAAACCCATCATTCAGTATGTTCATTTAAGTATGATTGTGTTTGCTAAAAAAATACAAGTAATGTGAAATTATTTAGATATATATGAAATGTAGATATAAAATACTGGGAATATTGGCTTACATCTAAGGATTTAATTTGAAAGCATTTCATTTTGAGACTTGTTTCTTCGAGATCATCCTCAAAGTGTTGTCTAATCCTACGTTCAATACCATGTTTACATGGTAACTTGTTTTTAAATTTGTTCTAAGTTTGTGGCTAAATATAAAGTTACCTAGCTCCTTATCCATAATAAGCTAGCACTAGCAACTAGAAAATAAGATAGATCCTAGTTACTGTTATAGAAATAGATAGGTGCTGTGCTGAAAAAAAAAAAGGCTTATTAGTTAAAATTTGAGGAAGACTGCTTTGGGAGTCAGATTACTCATAATGGATTTGTAAAATTTTCCAGAAAAGAAGATGGTTTACCTTTTATTTAATGTTGAGATTCTCTTGAACTCCTAGAACAATTTTAACTTTAACATACATTTTAGGAAATTCTGCCCTAAGGCTGAAGACACTAAGGTGTCTTCTTTTTGTAGTTGAAACAGGACTATATATCTTAAGAAATATTCACTTTATTTGGATAACTTTTATTTATTCTGATTTCTTACTGTTTCTTACTGTGTATTTCTATCATGTTCCCTCCCTGCCCCCTGCCCCCTTTTTTTTTGTGCCAATTTTTTAAATGCTTCTTAGGATCACCACTAGAGGGAGATCACAGAAACCAAAAGAATTTTATTGCTACTAGTTAGTAGTAGGATGAAATGAAAAACCATATCATGTTAATGTCTTGAAATTTTCAAATTACCAATAGATGAATATATCATACTTTTGCATTGAGAGGGAGGCAGCTAGTATCTATTTTCTTCCATTTAAATAGAAGATGATAATGATTTATATAAATTTTAGTGCCCCACATTATTTACATTAACACACTCAAATATTTATATGTACACACATGTATATATATATATATATATTTGCATGTGTGTGTGTGTATATATATATATATATATATACATATATATATATATGGATAATAATAATAGCGCTTTGCCACATACTAAAGTTGATTTTTGTTGGTTTTTTTTTTTGTTGTTGTTGTCAGTTGTAGGACCTGAACTCTGGGCCTGGGCACTGTCCTTCAGCTTTTGAGCTCAAGGCTAGCGCTCTACCACTTGAGCCACAGTCCCATTTCTGGCTTTTTCTGCTTATGTGGTACTGAGGAATCGAACCCAGGGCCTCATGCATGCAAGGCAAGCACTTTACCTCTGAGCCACCTTCCCAGCCCCACAAACTAAAGTTTTGTTTTTGTTTTTTTTTGTCAGTTTTGGGCTTGAACTCTGGGCTTGGGTGCTGTCCCTGTGCTCTTCAGCTCAAGGTGAGCGCTCTACCGCTTGAGCCACAGCACCATTTCTGGTTTTCTAGTGGTTAAGAGTCTCATGTACTTTGCTTCCCAGGCTGGCTTTGAACTGTGATCCTTAGAACTCAACCTCCTGAGTAGCTAAGATTACAGGCGTGAGCCACCAGTGCCCGGCCAAACTAAAGTTTATAAGTATATTTTCTCAATCTTTTCAACAGCTTTTTGCTTGTTTGCTTGCTGTGCTGGGAATTGAACCTGGGGGTCATATGTTTGTTAGGTAAGCACTCAGCCACTGAACTATATCCCCTTCCCTTCAACAGCTTTTGAAGTGGGTGTTCATGCTCTCATTTAAAAGATGAAGGATTTGAGACTTTTTTTAGGACATGAATTTATTTACTCAAGATTATGTAGCTGATTAGAAGAGTAACTGGGGTTTGAGAAAGGTCAGTGTCACTCCAGAACCATAGCTCTTAACCATGTGATATGCTATTTATGTATTACAGTCATATGTGAGGCAAGACACACAAGCTGTGTGTGGTTTGGCTGAAAGTCATGCATCAATGCCTTGTTTCTCCCTTGCCCATTATTTAGGGTTGTCTTTACTTTTTCACACTAATTGAAACATTAATTAGTTATATAGTTCTGTTGATTTTACTGTTATTTCCAATCCATTCCATTCTTTTTATTCCCATTGCTGCTGACTTAATTAATTACCTAGGCCATTTTCAGCTACACTGTTACGGTTTTTCTCTGATTATTCTCCTTGATTAACTTTCATAGAATTAATTGTTCTAAACTCATAGACCTGATGGCTCTCTATCCTGTTCTTGAGCCTCCAGTTGTTTGCCCTTGTGCATAGTAAAACCTATACCTCTTGGCTTGGCATTTAAGCTTGTTTCTTTGAGCCCAGGCTATCCTTTAACACAGAACCCTTTGGCCTCAGTCTACCAAGGGCTAGGATTATAGGCATGCACCACTGTGCCCAGCTAGAGCCTATTTCTAATGTGTCCTGAATTCTCCCTTTATAACTTTATCTCTCACTAATCCTTTACCTGCTTTACCCTCCAGCTACATTATTATACTCCTTTCCTTTAAAAAAAATAAGCTATTTGGCTTTCGTCCAGTGTTCTGAACATCTCTTTTTACAAAAAAATACCTTCTTAGCTAGCTTTCCCCCAAAGTTTCTTCTTTTTCTTTTCCTTTTTTTTATGGAGGTACTGGGGCTTTAATTCAGGCCTTGAGTTTGCTTGGCTTGCTACTTTTTGAGCCACAGCTCCAGTTCAGCGTTTTACTGGTTAATTGGAGATAGTTACATGGACTTTGCTGTCCAGGCTGGCTTTGAACTGTATCCTCCAGATCTTAGGCTCTTGAGTATCTAGGATTACAAATGTTGCTCCAACATCTAGCTGGGCTTCCTTTGCCTGTTTATTGTAGTTATTTTTTGTTCTTTTGGTAGCTTCTTATTCTGTGTTCTTATTTTATTACATGTACTCTAATGTGCTCAATGTTGTCTTGTTACCATATACACTTCTATGCTTTTGTTTTTACTAGTATCAAGGTTTGAACTCAGTCTTGAGCTTGCTTGGTGTTGTTTCCTAGGCTGGTGTTCTACTACTTGAACCTCAGGATCCAATGTCTTTTTGTTAAAATTATGGGCACTCAAATCCAATTGTATACCCCCCACAGTGCACTGAACACTATAAGCACTCAATTGGTTGTAATTTGATAGAGAAGGTAAGATTTCACAAGATATTTATAATTAATTACAGAGGAACTCAGTGGGGAACTGTGTTAGGAGCTAATGTAGAATAACTATTTCAGATTAGAATGGTCAAAAAGACCAGTAATTTATTTATTTTGTGATTTTTTTTTTTTTTTTTTTTTTTTTTTTTGCACTTGCTAGGCAGGCATTTTGCCATTTGAGCCACAACCCCATTCTCTGATTGAGGGTATGTAGAATACAATATTACATTAAATCATAACATTTAAGATAAATTAAAAATTGAAGGGTTTTGGAAACAGATATCTTTAAAATTTTTTTGAAATGTAAAAGAATAGGCATTGTAGCAGAATTTTTTTCTTGTTTCAATTCTTACATAATTCTTAGATTCCTCAGAAAATATATAATAGTGATGCTTTCAGTCATATAATTTGTGTCATGTGATATTAAAAAATAAAAAACCACTTGGCTTCTATAAGAAAGTTAATGTATCAAATAAAGCTACTTGTCTTCTTTATTTCTTCTTCAATAACACATTTTAGGTAGTTTTGACTGTAGATATGATTTTAATTGAACATTGAAAAGTATCAGAAGATGACATAACATATATCAATTGTAATTGCAGGCTGAGATGTTTTGATACCTTTTTTCTACTAAGAGTTTATTTTTACTATGAAATATAGTCTACATTTCAGTATTTTATGAAGAATAAGAAATTTAATACCAAGATATCATAAATAAATAATTTTATTTGAAGTTTTTAAGTCATTACATATTTTTTTCAGTAAAGCTTCTTATAAACATCTTTAACCACAATTGTTCTTCCAAATACAATTAATGACAAGTTGGTTTTAATCACAACCTGAATAACTTACATAAATTTAAATTAGTTGATATATAATTGATATTCACAAATGAAAACGTTGGCTATCCTGTAGTAATCAATGCATAGCTACAGCTGGTTGAAGGGGACCAAATCCATTGAAGAGGCGATTTGGTTCCATTTTACCAGCTTTAGCAAAGCATTGTAGTGCTGCTAGTTTGGGATCCAAAACAGTTAAAATATACAGACCATCTTGAAGTGTTATAAATTCTCCTATCAGTGAATGTAAAATTTCTAGTTTGGAGGCACTTTACTCTTAGAGTTTAGAAATCTTTAAACACCACCACCACCAACAAAACTGGGAGAGAGCGAGGAAGGTGTGACATTGTCCAAAAATGTATTCATAGCCTGACTTACCTAACAGTAACCCCTTTGTACATCTCCTTTATAGTAACAATTTAATTTTTTTAAAAAAGTACTTTTAAAAGACATTGCAGTTCATTTAGGAATTACTGTGCATCTTTGCTTAAGTCTTAAATGTAAACTATAACATATTCAAAACCCAAAGCATTTTTAAATGAACAACTAGATACTGATATATTTCAGAGAAATGTTTTCTGTTTTTCTTTAGAAAGTAAGCCAGATTCCTTAAGTAGGTAAGCTAAAAGTTGGGGAAGAACAATATTAATCACATTTCTGCTGCTGCTCTTTTTAGTATTAAAATTGAAGATTAATAGCAAGTTGCTGATAGGGTGGAAGAATGGGTGACCTTAAAAAATACCTCTGCTCTTTTGTTAGTAAATAAATCTCAGATATAGTCAGTGAATTGCTTGGACATGCTTGTATTGAGAAAAACTACCAGGTCTATCACTATCATATTTTTCTTTGGTTTTGCTTATAAAAGCTTACTGATCATGG